AATATGAGCACTTCTTCCCAGATGTTTCATCTCGAACAAAGTCTACCATGATGTTAAAATTTTAGGTTTTACACATTTCTTAATAATAAGAGACTTACGATTGCGTAGTTTCTGAGTGACTGGTGTGATTTCTACATTTCCAGAATCATTATATAACTGCACATTGGTTACAAGAGGTCCAGTAAAAAAAATTCACTTGATGCAGTTACTAGTATTTGCTGTCGTGTTGGATGTATTGTCAAGTATAGTCGCAATATACGGTTTATATGAGGACAAAATTAAACAATCAGATACATTCCAATTTTTGGAGTCATTCACAATAATTGTGTTCCTGTTGTAAGTTAGCAGACGAATTTTATGTTTTTCTTAGATAATATTCGAGACTAAATACATTTATTTGGACTGTTCAGTGGAAATAAAAAGTGCTCATTATTATATTGTTACTGTGGAACTTTTTTAAATTATTGGAAGGAATTCTGGACAAATCCCATCTTTGGTGATATGCCCACGAATAACACATATATTTTTACAAGATGGTGAAATACCTTTTGGCAAAGTAGATCTTCCTACAGGAACAAAGGACATTACTTGAATCAATGGTTTAAGTTCGATGAGGAATTACAGAGTTTACTAGTAAAGATTCTAAAATATTTCAGTCCTCATAATTGGATCTCCATTTGCTTAACATCGAACAGGTTTTGCTTATCCTAATACTATTCCAAGAAAGGAACGATGTTTATGTGCAGAATCTTTAGGGACTGCATATCATATCAAATATGAACAATGTTAGAATAACATCAATGACTTAGATCACTTTAATATGTGACGTTGCAAGTGGTAGTTATGAAAGTAAGTCTGAAACAACATGCATAGTTCACCTGGGTTATATACGCTTTGGGTTTTCATCAACTATGGAACTAAATGATTTGCTATCAATTACCCCAAATGTACATGTGTTTCTTTCATATCATAACAATAACTTAAAACACGTTTACTCGTGTGTATCAAGACGAACATGATGTGGATCTTTGTTGTTAACCAAACATTGACGATACAACTGTACATTAGAGATGAACCTGTCATTTAATATTTTGACAGTCTTACATTGACGTGTATAACCTGAGTGAATAAACCCGTTTATTCGACATTTGTTACTGAACTGTGAGATGTTTTCCGTGGAAAAATTCACAGGTGCGCTTAAGGTATTTTCGGAATCATCATTGTGCAATGTATTGTTTGTATAGTTGCATGATTCATTTGTTCTCGCTCTTTATGAGCGCAACTCGTACCAATTTGTGAACTACCCGTTACTAATTGATTTTCAATTTTATGAAAGATACGAATAAAAATGTATAATTTAAAACAATATATTTAGGATAAACACAAGAATACGTTGATAGTATAAAAAATGTTGGATCGGATGAAAAATAAACCAATTTTACAAGTGACTCAACGTTTTGATCGATCGCGGCGATCATATTTTCGGGCAAAATTAAAAGCAGTTGCGATGCTATAAATAAATTATACAGGCTGCAGGTGATGAAATCATTAATGATGCTGCTCAACGATAAATGTCTAATTTGCTAACTGCAAATCTGGAAATGGTAAGTTGATTACAGTAACATGGCAGTTTTGATGGTCGCTTTATGAATCCTGGTTGAACTTCTTCACGTTCATCAATTATTAGTGATAATAGTCCACAGGTTGCTAAAATGAGTAAAAAACGTGGGAAAAGAAGCATTGACATAGCTAAGTGATAAAATATCCAAAACTTTCGTAATGATACTACTGTGTCCTTTATTTAGTGACCCACTCCTAATTTTTGCCCCACAACAACTGCATATTTAATACAGTTGTGTTGCATTGTTTGTATAGTTGCATGATTCATTTGTTCTCGCTCTTTATGAGAGCAACTCGTACCACTTCGTTAACTACCTGTTACTAACTGATTTTCAATTTTATGTAAGATATAAATAAACATGTATAATTGAAAACAATATATTTAGGATAAACACAAGAATGAAAAGGCTGTAATACAGAGTCACTTTGAAACCTTTTTTACACGTAAGTTCTGAAAACTAAAAGGAAAAAGAACTTCAAGAAGGCTTTAAAGTCAGAACAAGTCATTAAAAATAAAGACTGGGCAACAATAGAATGCTCTATGTACAACACCATACAAAGACAGCTAACAATAAACATATAATTATCAATGCAATCGTTATACCATATCTGGTTTTCAAACATTTGAATAGTCCAAAATGTAACAAATAATTAAGCCTTTCGCATATAAAGAACATTTTCTACATAAAAAGTTAAAAATGGTTGGCATTTATACATAACATAATATAAATGCAATATTTGGAGTATCTTGAACCACATTACCAGATGCCAATCGTGTGACCATATGTCAAAATTTGCAACCCCTGTTGCTCATTTAGAACCTCAACAATCTAAAATTGCAGTCATTCCTGCATTACAAATGTCATCAGTAGTCTATGGGGCTTATTAGCTTCAATCGGACATTCAAATAGAGGGTTTGCATTATGCTGTCAATGGGAATTGAAAATGGCACCTGGGATCAATGCGAATTAAACAGTCATGGGATTTATAGAGTCAAAACTATTTTAGGGTGAAATGCTTTCATAGGGACATGGGATGATATGGACAAACATAGACATAAACAAACAAACAAATACCCATCCAAACAAAGACGGAAACGCACAGAAAAGAAAACAGAGATATTCCAAAGACAGATTCGCAGATATGATAAATTAAAATCTACTGTATGGGAAAAACAATTATTCAAGTATATACATGGGCTCTCTTGCCTGTGCTTTACTCTAAGAACTATCTATTAATACATAAATATTTGGACATAAAACAAACCTATTTACAATATGTTTTGTTCTTGGTTTTAGTGAATTAGTTTTAAACATTCAAAAATATCAATTTATATACAACGTATATGCATTTCATAAAGAATAACACTTGGCATGCTACAATTAATGTCCATTTTTAAGAAAAGCTAAAATAAAACAAGCAACAACCAAATAGGACAAAGTTTATGTTTTGTCTCTGTATCCATCACACCCGTTGTTTAAATCTGGTTAGCTGCCACTTGCGTCACGTACTCATTTTCATTCCTTATATGTTGTTATGCCCATTGTGCTAGGCAAACTTATCGATAAGCAGATCAATGGCGGTCATTGTCTTTTTCCGATGTATGTACAACGTATGCAGTATGAATGGTCACTTTTCCATGGGCGATGTCAGTTGTATCTCTCATCGTCTGCACGTCTTCAGTAGCTCTCAATATATACTCAATATGTATTTTAAGAAGTTAATTCTGCAGGTGTTCCAAATCCGAGACATATAGGAGGGTCAAACTGTCATGATACATAAATAGGCTCAAACGACCTCGATATTGGACGTGACACTAACGTTTAAGATTCTCTAACAGATAGTCGAATAATTACGTAATGTAACCTACTGCTTTCTCGGCTGGGACATCAGACGCGAAGTCTTTAAATTTCACCGTGTGGGTGTAAGTTGTCGGCCTAAATTTTCTCGAAGTTTCTGTCTGAGTCATTTCGATGCTATAATGCTCCTTTAGGTCTACGGAATCAATTTTCTTCTTAGACGCACTTTTCTGTGACGGTATGATGGTGAAAGTGGTCAGTAATGTTTGTTATTCTTCCTTTTTTATCTGCGTAGAGTGATTCATCTTTCTCGGTGTTTTTCCTCGCAATGAGGTGTCGTTAAAGTATTGTCTTTCCAACGTGGACATATTACGGCATTTTAACAATTACTCATGCAACACTGAGGGAACGATGCTTTGAAAGACACGTGCATCATTGCCAAAGCGTGTTTCTTAGTGTACCGCCAACGATTAACGCCCTAAAATTCCATGGCTGTCATTTTGCCCTAAAGCTACGAACTTTGTCGTACGTCAGCATTCGGTAAAATCCCTACGCTGGCTACACTCATTGTGCCACAAAGAAGATAAATGGATCTTTCACGTCCAAAACAGAGGAGGTGAAAATATCATTATAATGTATTCTGTGGATGGCTGGGACTTAAGAAACCCTAAGATCGTGTATAAAGCTAGTTTCAAATTGAGTTCATGTCAAATTATAACAGCATTCTTCTGGTGTGTCTGATTAGAGCAATCTATATACAGTGTCAGATTGGTGGAATACATTGCCAATTATACATCCGAGCACATTGTTGCTAGTCGCAAATTACAGCAATTAGTTTATAGATCAGAAATGAAATGCTTGTCAGAGTGAAACAACATATTGCTAGTGATCTGATCAGGGCACTACGTTGGTAGTGGCAGATTGGAACAGAGTGTTGCTAGCGTCGGATTGGTACAGTCTGTTGCTAGTGTCTAATTAGAGCAATGCATTGTTAGCATTAGATTGGAGCAAGGTAATGCTAGTGTTATACTGGAAGAGAATGCTGTTGGTTGAATCGGTACAGTGTATTGCTAATGTCAGATTAGAGCAAAGCGTTCTAGTATTAGATTGGAGCATTGTGTCTCTAGTGTCATATCGGATTGATACGCTTCTGGTTCAGATTTAAGCAAATCAAATCTAGTGTCAAAATGAGTAAAGTATTGTTCGAGATATAATGAACAAGACTGAGCAGTGTATTGATATTGTCATTTTTAACCAAAAAAACGATGTCTTCAGACTGAAGCAATGTGCTTGTATTTTCAAACTGGAACAATGTATTGGGTGTGATTTGTGTGTGTGTGTGTGTGTGTGTGTGTGTGTAATTTAGATTTTTAACGTAGCTTTAACACTTTTTCAGTCATATTGCTACGATGTCTGCAGTGGCAGATTATAATGATATCTAGCACAGAGGCATCATACCGCAGACTTGTAGCATGATGTCCAACCCAGTCACATTATCCTGACACCAGTCCTAACACTAACCTCTTAATGAAGAGCGCCGAACGAGGCATCTGTTAGTATCATTTGTGTAAGTCTTTGGTATGACTCGGCCAGGGATCGAACCCACGACCTTCCGTATCCGAGACAGACACTCTAGCCACTAAACCACCGGAACAGTTAGCAATGTATTTGTATTGTCAGACTGGAGCAATGTAATGTATTGCTATTGCCAGACTGTAACATAAGGTTTATGTAATGTATTGCTTACGTTTAGTTGGAGCTGCTTATTTAAAGCGACAACTTGTTAGTATGTAATTAAAACAGTGCGTTGCTAATGTCAGACTACCGCAATGTAACGTTAGTATTACAGCTGCGTTACTAGTGTCAGACTACACTAGTGCAGTGTCAGAATTAATTTAAACAGCAGGTATCTCATGTTAGACAACATCAATCTTTTAGTATCAAAACGTGGCATTCCTAATGTCAAACTACAGCGACAGCTTGTTAGTATTAAATAAAGCGTTGTGTTGCTAGAGTCAGACCACATGAATGTAATGTTGGTGTTTTAATAGCCAGTTTCTTGTGTCAGACAACATAAATGCATTGTTAGTATTAAATTAAAACAGTGTGTCATGTCAGACTACAGTAATAATTTGTTAATATTGCGTGCTAGTATTAAAACAGCTTGTGTCTCATGTTCGAATACAGCAATGCAATGTCAATATTAAAACAATGAGTTTCTGGTTTCTGACTGCAGCAATAACTTGCTAGTATTAAATAAAAAAGTGTGTGTCTCGTGTCAGACTACAGCAATGTAATATTGGTATTAAAACAGCTCGTTGCCAGTGTCAGACTACAGCAATGTAATATTGGTATTAAAACAGCTCGTTGCCAGTGTCAGACTACAGCAATGTAATATTGGTATTAAAACAGCTCGTTGCCAGTGTCAGACTACATCGATGTAATTGTTAGTATTAAAGCAATGAGTGTTTATCGAGAGGTTGGATCCAGGTATAACTATTGGCGGAATTAAACAAATGGATTACTAGTGTTACACTTGTGTAGGGTGCTTCCTGCGTCACACTGGTGCAATTCCTCTCTAGTGTCAGACTGCATCAATATTTTTTGCTAGTGTTTGATATGGGCAGTAGGTTTTTGTGCCTGACTGGAGCAGTTCATTGCTAGTGTAAGATCGGGGTAGTACGTTTCTGTATCAGACTGGAGCAGTGGCTTGCTAATGTTAGATTGGAACGATATATTGCACGTGTCTGATAGGAGCAATGATATGCCAGAGTCAAACTAGCAGTGGATTTGTATTGTCAACTTGGAACAGTGTAATGCTAATGACGGATTGTAGTAAAGCATTGCTAGTGTCCGCTTACACTATTTCATTTATAGTGCCAAATTAGTCCACTAAGGACCTATACATAGAGTTAAACCGTCATTATAGTGCACAAAGTTAAAATTACATTATAGCACACAAAATCAAACTGACATGATATTACCCAGAGTTAAACTGACATTGTAGTATCCAGGACTTAAAGTAATACAAGAAAGTTAAAACTGACAAAATAAGAAGATTTTACAATTGCATATGGGAGATATGGATAAATATTGTAAACATTGAGAGTATGTTAAAAATGGTTAAAGATGGAGGCTTACATATTTTGTTTAAAATATGTTTGCATTCTTGACAAAGAAGCGAGTATTTATTTCACTTATTTGCCTCTGTTGGCTTCTATTGTCTATAATCACATCAAACACGACACTGAATGCTTACAACTTTCACATTCTTGTCTAGTTACCTGAAACCGTCTGATTTCAGTACGAAAAAAATTTCCCAAGTTTTGACAATTAAAACAGAAAACTGTGCTGATCGCTTGTGTGATTTTTCAGTAACATGACTTGGATTACCTTAATGAGGTGCAGACAGTTGGATAAAATTGCACTGTTATGTTCCGGATCCATTAGTTTCGTATCGTCAGTTTCGCCACACGTTTACTCCTAAAATAGGATCCATATCGCATTTTCAGTAAAGATTAGGATAATTGCCACGACATAGCAGTTTTCTTTCCTCTTTTGATAAAAATCTCGTTCTAGTTGGAAACCAAAGTGCATTTGTCAATTTTATTAAGTTTTATATTTACACATACTTTCCAAACCCTTTTAATAATGTCATCATCGATAAGATCAATCAGTTTAAAATTAGCTAATTCATGCTATAACAAGTACTCTTGCCTATTTTACAATAGGTCAAGTTCATAGTCAACGAAACGTTCTTGCTAACCTCTTTGAATTTTAGGCCATTTTACTGTCACAAATGTTTTCAGTTAAGCTTCTATTTGAAATTTCTACATTGCCGACAGTTGTAATTCCATTTGCAAATGGCCTCATTTTTGAGTAAACTGCAAACGGAGAACAGGGAATAAGACGATAAAATTGATGTTAGTGAACAGTATAGTGATGAAGCTAAATCAAATATGTAAATCTCCATTTTGCTGACTACTTTTAACAAAGTTTACAATATCTAACTTTATCTTCACTATGTAGTAGTGCCGTCTTACGATTTAGTTATTGTAATTTCTTATATTACTTAAGTTTAAGCCTGGATAGTAAATGTCAGTTTAACTCTGGGTAATATCATGTCAGTTTCACTTTGTGAACTATGCTATTTTCACTGTGTACTGTAATGACATTTGAATTCTATGTACTATAATCACAGTTTAACTCCATGTATTATGATATCAGTTTAAATAAGGGTAAATAAGTACTAAAATGTCAGCTTAGTTCCATGTCCTAGGAAAATGATTGAAGGGGCTCGGCTGGAGGCAGCACGCCTCAATTAGGACGCTAGTGCTAAAACGTCAGTTTGTATTAAGCCAAATTCTAAAAAATTTCGTATATGTGTTAGCCATATAATCATTTTGTTATATGCCACCTTTTCAATTAGATTCATTTTTTTTAGTTATAAATTTTCCTCCCAAATATAATGCTGTAGAATTGGTGTGCTAAGTTCACTCCCATTCCAAAAAACTAATCATTTGATCAGGTTAGTGTCCTATTGTTTTGCAGTCTATTTAGGGTCTTGGTTGTAAATTTAGATTGGTGAATAAAAGATCACATTGGTTGAAAATGCTGTAGAATCGGGATTTCAAGGCAGATTGAAATTCCTTTATAGGGGCAGCCGGTAGTAGCTCTGAAAAAATGATGAGATAATCTCAGGCAACATGATCAGTTTAATGTGTTTAGGTAGAGTTAACCCTTTCCTTCTTCTTTGATAGTCCGTACTGCTACCATATTTTCTAACACCATTTCCCAATCGGAAATGGTATTCGATTGGAGTTTTTAGAAGTTATCCACCTAGTATAGTTTTATTACCGTCAGTTCCACAACTGGAGTGGGACCGTCAAATATGTATTTCACATGGTGCTGATGTTGACGGCTTTTTTGTTTGTTCGTAGCAGCATTTTCCTTTTCATTGCGTTTAAATTACCATCATAGTATATCTTAAGTTCTATTTCGCGACAGTTCTGAGTGCTTCTGTATGTTCTTTTGTAGCTTTTTAATCACCTGAGAAGTATGTAAATACCCATGTCTCAAGTTGATTGAAGATGTAATTTACTAATGCTGCTTTCAGTTCTGGGGATTTTATTGTTGTGCTCTTCTGGTTCTCTTTTTCAATGCTTGTTCATGCCTCGTTGTAGCATACAGTAGCTGTTTCAGTTCAGACGGCGAGTCATTTTATGATACTAGATCTTTACAAGTTTGTTGTTTGTTATGTTTGGCCAGGTATTTGCTAAACTTTATTGAGCACGGAAACGATCGTTTTCCACCGAATATTGAAAATTAAAGTAATACCTCACTCGATTTCTGATGGTCCAAAGTAGACAATTGCTGAGGATAAGTTGCTGATTGTCTTTTTAATTAGCGTATCATGGCATCATTTGTGTTCAACTGTTGTTGTACTTGCTAGCTCAGGATGTCAATCACAAAAGTGTTTCAATTTTCAGTGATGTTTAGGATTTTTGTGGTATGAATAATTTCTGGATTGGCTGATGTAATCTGGCCGTGAAACAGCACAAAACACTGTTGGGAAAAATTCATGAATGGAACTTCTAAGTGATGTTAAGTAAAACTGGTTATTCATAATTTGAGGATTATACTTTCCGATGAGTCATTTAAGTTCAATGGAGTTTTCAAAAGAGGGTTGTTGTTGGCGCTGTTTTGGTGGTGATTGGTGTTACTCGCGACGGTCCCGTTGTGAGTGGATTATTTTAGGCAACGATTGGATAGAAGTAACCGATGAATTTGCTACATAAAATAGTCCACAGTTGATCGTCTGCTTGTTGCAAGATCAAATTTGCTATGACTGCTGAGATGACACGATGTACCACAAAGATTTAGCTGAAGTTTTGGACACACGTTCTCCGCATCACACCCAAATTGGTTGCTTTTGAAGATCGATAAGAGAAGAGAGGTCGCAGCTGATGATGTGTTGAAGTTATGATGGTCGCTTCTTTTTATAGTCGATGACTAACGAAGTGTCCATCCAATAATCTAGACTCGGAGGATATTCTTTCCAACGGACTTTCACTCGGCGTTTTGGCTTGTTTACGGTTGTTCATTTTTGGCTATTCGTTGTAACTCGGACAAGTAAACTGTTACTTTAACACTTCGCCTTGCTTGTTTGCCTATGTATATACATAACCCCATAAACCTTTTTTCATTATAAATTTACATGGCCCTATAAATTGTTTTGTGATTTGTTGTATGCTTTTTGTATACGTGTGTGTTTTGTAAATGTGTGTTGCGTTTGTGTGCATTTCGTGTGCTCTATGTGGGGGGTGTTGTGTGTCAATGTTGTGTGTACTGTATATGAATGTTGTGTGTGTGTTTGTGTGTGTGTGTTGTATGCATGTGGGAATGTATCTTGCTTGGGTATTTACGTTTATTGGTAACTTATAGATGGTAACTTTTTATATTCATGGAATTATATTGGATCAGGTTACGAGGGTAAAATTGACTGAGTTCCTAATATAAAGCTTTGATAGAATGTACAATTTAGACAGACAGAGAGAGAGAGAGAGAGAGAGAGAGAGAGAGAGAGAGAGAGAGAGAGAGAGAGAGAGAGAGAAACGAATAGCAGAGCATGAATTAATTTTTATTAATCTTATAGTTA